CAGCCCTGAGCAGTTTTCAGAAATAAGTAGCTTACAATGTCTTGTTAAATGAAACAATGAGTTTGTTAGATAAATAAGTATGGGATGGAGAGAGAGGCCATCATATACTGGAGTTGTCCTGCTATCCCATTTCACCCATGTGTCCTTAACCCTCCTCCTTCTGCCTATCCAGTTCACTTAGCTCTGTAGCTCTCTGATGTAGAGATTTTGTTCTGATTCTACTGTTTTGCAATTGTAGCTTATTTATTTATGTATGTATGCATTTATTTATTTATTTAAAGTCATATCACGGTTTTTGAAAATCTGTCTGAACTGCTTTCTAGCCATTTTTATTGAGGCAAAAGCTTGAAAATGTGATCTGTGAAGGTCTCTGAAACCAGAAGGCTGGTAAAAGCATGCTAAGATGTACTAACTACTCATACCTTTTCACTTTATAGCTCATAATGAAGGATTTTCCATCCCTGAAGTTGACAATGCCACAAAAAAAAGGTGGTGTTTGGAGCTTTCAAGCACGACCTATGGGTAGCATGGCACTGCGTGTCTGCCTTCAGCTGCCCATTTGGAATAACAACACAATTCTGGACACTTCTGAGAAATGCATTTTATTGTATGACAGTTGTCATGTGATCGCCTACAAAAGAGATCATTCTGCAGCAGTAACAAAATCAAATTACCATACAAATGCTAAACAAAACAAAACAAACCAGAGTTAAAATGATGAAAAAGCAGTGCCATGTTACACAATGTAAAACATATACATAAAGCCACATTTCTCTGCTAAAGTGGCAGAAGGTCATTGCTGTTAAAGGAAGTAACCGATCTTACTTTTTCTCTTTTTTCTTTTTTCCTCAAAAAAAGAGCAGACATACTGAGATATTTTAAAAGGTCAGAATAACACGAAAAGCAGCATTTTCAGGAAGCCTTCTAAACCATTTGGGTCTTTTGTCTCCCATTGCTTCTTAATTTTATTTTAAACATACTGGGAGGGACGTTTCAAGAAATAGTCAATGTCAACTAAACAACGAAGTTTACTGACCCTGGCCAGAAGAACAGCTTGTCTCTTCCGAAGAGCAGTGTAAACAGTATTGCAGAAGACTAAAACAATCTTGCAAATAAGCTTTGGTTCAACTCACCAAACAAAATTTTGCTCACAGAACAAGCAAAACATCAAATAACCTATTCTTGAGAACTGTGTTGGTTTTAACTCTACCAATCTTTTCACAAGAAGTAGAGCAAAGATATAACAAATGTAACATCTGGTACAATTCCGAAGATCAAAAGTAGAGGCTGTTCCTCATCTCTTACACCAAAGAAACAATATTTCTGTAACTGATGATTTTTAGAATTACTGTATAATTTTTTTATATATATATATATATATATATGAGAAAGAAGACTCCAGAATACTTTAAGGCACCTGGTTGGTGGTGAAATATTTTAAAGGCATTAATTACTCAGAAGACCAAGCTCTTTTTTCTAAGATCCCCATGATGGAATGTGATTTATAATAACCAGTTTTGCTATTTCTGAATGAAGCATGAGTTGTTTTTTTTTTTTTCTTTCAGAATGGAAGTTTAAAACTATTTGAGGTTTTCCTTACAAGGAAATAGAAAACACATTGCCAGAAAGATAATTTTTACATTTAACAAATCAAGTCATTCACTAAAGAAAGGCCTTATACCTGGTTTGAGTCTTCCCATTCAGGTGCATTGAGGTTTTCCTCAACTGAGATTAAATGTATCAGCAAATCTTAACACACAGCTAAACAAAACAAGTATCAGCAAAAAAAAAAAAAAAAAAAAACACACAAATAAAAAATGCCCTGAATAAAATTTTCCTGTTTAAAGTACTTTTGTTACTTTCTTTTAGCTAAAAAGATGGATAAAAAATCAATGACGGTATGAATGGCTCACTACCAGTTGCTCTATTCAGCAATTTACGGGTTATCAGTGTACTTTTTTTTTTTAATTTGATTTTTTTTACGATGATATTTGATACATAGAGCTAGTAACGTCCTGTCAAAATACGTGAAGAAGCAGAATCAGCATTTTCAGAGATTCCTAACATTTTTGTGCGCATTCAAATAGCTACAGTATCAAAGTAATTCTAGCTTATAGATTGATAGCTAGATCTGTCAGGGTCTCACACCAGTGGCTCCGCAGCAGCCAGCATCTTGGAGTTCTGCTCTGGAATACAATTTACCAGAGATTCATTTCAGTGATGAAATGTATTAAAACTATAATTATAACCTTGTTTCATACACATATTTCTCCTTGATTTTGATTAAAAAAGTAACAACAACAAAAACCCTCAGGATATATGGCCAAGAGAACACACACTTCTCTTAGAATACCCGGTGGTACTTCTCTTGTGAGAACTATTTAGAAAAAGAACGGACTTAAAAGAATGCACGATTGTCAAACAGGACTAGACTCTGTGGGTATGTCCCAACTGGCCAGTAAAAAGGATAACCCCAAGCAAGCTCAAGCACTGATGACCCATCTATGCTGCAAAGTGGGCAGCTCTCTCCCCAGTTCTGTTTTGGGTGACCTCAGCGAGGTGTCTCCGTGAAGAGCCTTGCGCAGAGCCCCACAGATTTCGCGCCCACCACAGGGCGCCCCCCGAGCGGCGGCGCAGCCTGGGCCGTGCCCGCTCGCATTCTCCTCACGCCCCGCACACCCCCCGGCATCACCCGAGGTGACCTGGCACCCTGCAGCGCCTCTTTACGTCTTCACATACCTCTACTACACAAACACCACTCTGCTGAGCCATATCGTTACTTTAGACACTCGGAAAAGTTGAAAAAGTTGAAAAGTTAAAAGAAATTAAAATCAAAACAAAACAGATCCAAGCAAACACGATAGCAACTGTGAATGAGGTCCACAGGGGCCTAGAGGTAGCCCAGGTAGAGCCCGAGATAAAGGGCCAGGTGGTGTGGGATGTGGACCTGGTGGTGGGCTTGAGAGGACACGAGCTGGAAGCACTGTTTACATGAGCCAATCTGAGCCATTTGGTTTTGGGGACAGGTATTTGTCCCCAAACCTCTTTTATTTAGCACCAGACATAGCACAAGACTCATGCTCTGCATCACTGTGTGAAACTCAGTTCCACTCGTTTCCGTGTCATTGGCTAAAGCATAAGGTGCTACATACCAGAGAGAAAGCGTCAGAACCTGCCAAAACAAAACAAAAGCGACCAAGAAAGGAATAGTATATTTCATTTTGTAACATCCTCCTAACAACACTAGAGATTGTTACCAGACTGCTTGCTGTGTGGGGCAGCAAACCCGAAGGCAGAGAAGCAGAGGTGGGTCCTCGTGGCTCACAAAGCCTCCCTGAGCAGCGCTGCGTCCCCTGCGCCAAGCTCTACGGCATCCGGGCCCTCCTCGAACTGCAGGGGCCAAGAGAAACCCAGCAAGAGGCATCCACCTCCCTCCTAGGATTTTGCAGCAGGGCCCCGAGCCCAGCCAAAGGAAGGCTGCTGCCCGAGGGAAAAGTAGCCTCTGCCTCTTGCTCCTGTGCAGGACGAGGACCTTCTAGGGTTGGCCCTTAAGCCAAGGCAGTGGTTTAGCCCTCAGTTTACTTCCTGATAAGGAGAGAGCAGTTTGGCATTTGAATCACACATTTATTGGCAGAACTGCCTGAAATGAGAAACAGTTGAGTTTTCTCTTTGGTTTTAGACCTGCCCCCCTTTCTGTTTTTCACTGAGTAAACAATATTTACCTTACAGCAGTGAAAGTGAATATCTTGAAAACTTTCTGAAGAGCATAGTATCTTCTGTGTCCTGGAGAGATCTGTTACTTTCTAGGCCTTCCTGTGCCATTTAAACAGCAAGATTTTTTCTACATTGGACCTCAAAGAGCAGGTATCTCACTAAACATGAAAAAAAATCTGAAGCAGCATAGCACTTGCTTGACTTTCTTAAGCATGGGAATAGCGTCTTTACGTTCAAGTGCTTTGCTCAATCAGGACATAACAACCAAACACAGAATCTCTCTCCCACTATCAGCAACAGCCATTTGAAACTACAGCTTGTACCTTCCTACCTCTTTCGGTAGGATGGTAACTTCAAACAGCTCGAGTTCAAGAGAACCCCTGATGCAAAATTTTAAATAAACTAAGGTTAAACATTTGTAAAGTATCTTTAATGAATTTGTTGTGTACCCTGCAGTTATAGCTTTTGCTTGAAGGCACAAATATTAAGGCACAATAAATGCAAATAATGTATACATTTCAATGTGTTGTGCTGAAGATAACTTTGTACTACATGGTACTTAGGTATAATGACATGTCATTCAAACGTTTCCCCAAGTTATTTTAATACTTTTTTCTTTGATAACCTGGATAAAAAAAGGAATGTATGTTAAATTATTTAAATATTTCCTCAGTGCAATTGTAGTAATTTTCTTCTAAAGTACAGAAGATTGATAATGATTTTTCAGCAGTTGGATTTCTGCAAAAAAGGTAATATTTACATTCACCTTGGACAGCATTACTTCAATTATTTATCAAAAAATGAGTATATAGTACTTTTTGCTATCAAAAAGAAAAGTTTTTTTTCTTTTTGGCTTGTTCAATTGTTGTTTCTACCAATCTGCAAAACGGGCAAAAAGGCAACTGCATTAGACAACTTGTGCACTACCAAATCTGCTGTTTAGGTCTTGTTATTGTGTTAAAGTGACACCGAACAAATTTTGGTTTTGCTTGCTCTCAAAATATTTCCAAAAGGGAAAAAGGACACATCTCAGTGTTTTTAATAAGCTCCAAAAACGCACCCTAGATCTGTTAGGTGTCCTGCACCTGCTTAAATAAAAGAGATCTCTACCACATAACTTTCAAATAAAAACTTAGTCCGCCTAATCTCCTTAGCAATAGGAAAACATATATTGCACTGAAATTAAAGAAACAGGCACAGAAAAAAAATATATTTTTTTCTCAATATTAAATAGAAAGGATATCCAGTGCAAAGAATCGCCCCCCTACTCTTCCTCCCATCTGAAACTTTCAAACACTGTCAGTCAGTGAGTCTGAATAATCTCAGGTTTACGTTCTCTGGGAAACAGCTGCGGGTTGTCAGGAATCACAGTGCAGTTTCGGTGATCCAGGCTCCCGAGGAAGGATCCAAGGAGCAGTCCGTGGCAAGCTGGCCATTCTGAACAACTTCCGGATAATTCTTACTGAAGTAAACCTAGGACAAATATTATATTTGGTAAGCAATTAAAGATTAACTATACCTTAAGCCTTTAGTTTCAGATAAAATGTCTGGAGACTAATACAATATGGGTATATACATTTTGATAAGGCAAGAAAGCAGGAACTTCAGATTAGTAGCATTCAGTGTCACTGAAAAATTAGTAAAATTACAGTATGATCTTACATTACAACAAAGTCCGAGAAATAAACACTCAACCTGTAGATCCACTCCAATCTTGGTAATTCAGATAAAGAGATATATGTTATCACTTTACATTAAGCTGATAAGTAAAATCATTTTGCTAGCTCAACACATGGAGATAAATTAAAAACAGGGTGACAAAGAAGCTGTGAAATCTTACGTCTGCACAAGGGTTTCTCATTTTCACACATAAAATGAACACAATGGATTTGGATGTTAATATCAGGTTGTAATCCCTATATTTTACAAACTATGATTGACAACCATTGAGACTTCGTGGTATATGTATGAAATATCCCAGCGTTTAATTTGTGCCGCAGAACAGTTATAGGGCCTATAGAAATGTGATCTCTGGATAGTGAATCACAATAATGAAAGAAGCAAAAGCTTTAACAATGACTCAACCAAGCAACTTCTCTAAAATGTAAGATGATACCAAATAATAGGACAGTTCTTTGCCGAGCCTTTGAGTTCTTGAATTCTAACAATTTCTAGCTGAACTAGAAGAGATACAGGTTTCCTGATAAATGTATAATCAGAACATAAAGGAAATGAAATGCTGTCAAGTTTCACTGTTCCACAATCATCAGTTTTTAGTAACTGTATCATATCTCTGTTCCTTGACAGATGCGCATAACAAAATGAAATAATGTCAAGACTTGTGTGCTCTTATCTAAAAATGTGTTTGGGTGAAAGAGGACTTCAAATGCATTTTTTTCAAAGAATGTGGAAAGTTTTGTTTGAGTCTTTAAAAACAGAAACTACACTATCTTTCTGAGGCTGACACGTGTCACGAGTCGGGTCTCACATTCACACCACGCCGACTACGGCTGATGAGACATTTCTCCAATTTACGTTTGGGAGTGCTGTCAACAAAGGGCAGTTTGCTTGATAATACCCTTCTTTTCATATACATGAATACGACGTGGGATAAAATAGAAATAGTTACACTACACAAATGCTCTGAAAGTGCCACTGTCGCCCTTTGCGTACGCACGCTAACGCGCTGCACATGCATCTTGGGACTTTCAAGGAATGGGAAGGACTGACTGGAATCAGGCAAAGCAACGGAAGTCCCGTTGAGAGGCATTCCTCAGGAACCAGCCACTCTGGGATGCAACAGAGGAAAGTTGATCAGGTGGGGCTGCAGATGGGAAGCTCCGTTGCATATTCCCATCCATTTCCTGGTTTAAAACATAACTTCGACATACTTTTACTGTAGCTTTTGAATACGATTTTATTTTTAAGTTAATAGAAAACCTTGGCACGTTGCTAGAGACATAATGAAATGGCAGCTGCTTTTCAGCTGTCTCATTGCAATTCTTCCCCTGGGCCCAATCCCTCAAGATATTAAATGCCCAAGTCTTTATTCAAGTTTCTCTTGCTGCCAGCTGAGCTGCAACCTTTTAAAAAGTAATCACTGAGGTGAGATAACAGCTAGTATTTTAATATTTACACATCTGTCATAGCTTTAATACAAAATTATCCTTACTTTTCCCTCAAATTATTCAAGAACTGATTGACAGAAAAACAGCCCTATCCTGCTGCCACCAAAGTTTGTGGAAAAGCTTCTCTCAACAGGAGAGCACATTAAGTTTTGTTTATCTGAATAACTGAGCACACTTCTTTAACGGTCTGATGACTGTATCTCACTTTCCCATAGGATTTTCTCCTAATAGCTTCTTGTAAAATGAACAAAGATAAAAACAGCCTTCTCCTAGGGCGTTATTCTGGAGACAAGTCTAACGGTGCAAAGCACAGCCCTACTGCGGTCGGGCTCAAGCACTGCTTAGACTGCACCTGCAGTCTCCAGCTTGAGGTCCACTGAGCTGGTTTTCTTCTTCTTGCATTTGTGCAAAAATCAGGGATACTCATTGATCTAAACAGACAAGCAGATAGCAAGTTTGGATCATTTTGGAAGAGGGAACTAAAGTTTCAGGATATATTACGATCTTGAATAGCTGGATCTTTCAACATTAGCTAGGATACCTAGGAGAGTTTTGGAAAATGAGGCTTCCAATTAAAAGTGCCTAGTCATTTGTGACAGTTATTCACATGTGCCTTACTTGCAGTCAAAGAATATATGTAGAAGCTACACTGTTCCAAAAAATGCATTTGAACTCTCACCTTACTGAAAGAAGCTCTTAACACAAGTATGTTCTGCCCAAGGTTCAGGTCCAGAATGCAATAAATCAAGTGATCATCATCAAAGTATGGCCCCATTCCAAGCCATTTTATTTAGCAACCCACTGTAACGCCTTTTGAAACACATATATATGCCATATTACCATCTCTTTTCATGTGCAGCATGCTGTTTTTCAGCAACAGAATAAAAGCTGTTCTTCATAAAAACAGTTCTTAGTAACCGCAGTCGGAATGTATGAGACCATGTATCATGGAGCAATCCATGTAGCAGACTTACAAAGTGTAAGAAGAGCCACAAGATCTAGCTCTTCTGACTAAGCAGCTTCCCTGAAAGCGTGCATGGAGCACCAGGGACATCAACAAAGAAAACCCTGAATGAATGTCCAAGTCATTTAAATGGAGAGAACTTCTGGATAGCTACTGAGGGGAGATAGAGTCTCTTAATTCCTACTTTTTTGGACTGAGTGTGGATAAGCACCATGCTTTGCATTCTTGGCAGATGCTAAAGCTTGTATCTGCCTTCTAGCCTGGGAGTTAGCAAACTTTTTCATCAAACCACATTTCAGCAGAGACTGGTTCCTGGATCTCTTCCCTTCCTGTACAAAATCACATAACATTGATGTGGTAACTGCAGATGACTATACGGGCAAGTAACATCAAGTAATTATTTTTATATATTTTGAATTATCTTTGAATGCAATTGTGCAATGGGGAAGAGCTGCAGGGAAGGAAGGAGAGACAGCATGACATGGCTAAACCTCTGTGATGACAGTGAGACAGCCTCACCTCTCACCATCCCAAGGATGGAGCCTTAGGAAGCTGCCCTCCACTTTGCAGACAAACACTGGTCACGGGAACTCAACGCCTAATATACATGCTCCTTTGTAGCCTAAGTTATATAAGCTCCAGATTGTCATACACATACCATGAAGAGCACAGCTAGCCCCTTATACTTCTAGTAACAAAATACAGTAAGTCCCATTGCAGCATTTTAGGAAAACAGCAGGACTCATTAGATAGTCTAGTTAAGGAAAAAAAAAATTGTTTCCAGAGTTCTGCAATTAGTGCCACATATGAATTTACGGTGTATGTTCTTAGCTACAAAGCTTCATCTAAAAAACTCTCTTAAAAAAATACAAACACAGAATTTTAGTCTGATTTTTTTCTCCCTCTAAAAAAAATCATAATGAACAGAAACTTCTTTCCTAGTCATCAAGCCAAAAGATGGTCAAAATGAGTTCCTCAACCAGAGGTCACTTTTTATGTTCTTATCTCTGCTTCAGCTTTCCATCTGAAAGGTAGAGATCATAGAGCTTCACCTCAGAGGCATTTTATGAAAATTAATCCACTGATGTTTCTTAAACACCTTGATTGCCAGAGGAATGCTCACAATTACATTGATAATTCTGTACTCTGAGTAGGATTTGAATAGTAAGTAGTAAACAGGCACAGAGCCTGGTAAGGAACAGGAGGCAACAAAACATTCAATGAGCACCATTCATCATCTGTGCAGAATGAAGCAGGGATACAAGAACAAAGGAGAAGCAGCACAAAATAAGAACATAATCTCACTTTGAAAGACCATAAAATAATGTGCTGATACTGATCCTGAAATGAAAATTGTGGGAGTTCTTTTAAAAATGCAGAAACAACAGAACTCAATGCTGTGCTATGCAGCCTTTACGATTTTTTTCAAGTTTTTGTAAGACCAAAGTCTTCCACAGGAGTGTATGTCACATATCATTAGCATTTACCATTGAGTGTACATGTGGACAACTGCGAGAAAACCAAACTGTCTCGCAAGTCAGTGTACATAAATATATTTATCATTTTGAAGTCTGGGTATATCCCACTAAAAAAGCACCAAAAATGAGGTTTAGTCTTGTAAAGCTGATTCTGATGTGTAGAGAAAGGTCTATCATAACACCGAACACACAAACTTGAAAAAAACAAATTGCAGAGACAAACTTAATTAACACTTCTTTTAAAATTACCCGTTTTGCTGTTTCTATGAGAGCAGCTGCTTCAGTCTTGCCCACTTGTTGCACCATTTTGTAAAACAAGCCATCTTTTTCCTGTAGCAAAATGTAAGGTTCACCATATTCTTTTAGTCTTCCTGCATCTAAAACCTGTTAAATCAAACAAAAATAAAATTAATAACGTACAAAGTTCCAAAGCAAGTGTTAGAGACTATAAGCAAGGTGTGCGGTGGACTATAAGCTCTTTAAGTGCTAAGAGGGATTTTGTATCCTGAAAATGAGACCTTATGCCGTCTTCAAACAGCACTTCAAACGCTTTTTTTCAGGTTATAGACCAGTTGTACTATTTTTGAGTGCCCTACAGCCATTCTACCTACAGGAATCCAATGCAAAGTTATGCAGAATATGGAAATACAATGCTTGTGAAGCCAACAAAGCAGATTGCAAGATTCATTGTGTAAGAAAGAAACAAAGGCCTGTTGTTTAGAGGCCTAAAATGGGCTCTGAAGTAAACAGCTGTAGGTATAAAACAAGCAATAACCACCAAGGCGATTAGGGGAGAGTAAGTAGACCTTTTGGATTAGAGGAGGTGAAGATGTAATTAAAGAAAATGAGGATGTTGCTGAAAAGATAAACAATTTCTGGCATCATTTTTTTGCCAGCTACACATTAGAAAAATACTTACTCTGAACCTATTTTTTATACATAAAAAGATGAGATGCCACCAGACACAGAGGTACCCCAAAAGAGGAAGGGAGAAGGAAAAAAATAAGAGTGAAATTAAACAGCCATTAATAAGTCATTAGACCACGGAGGATACATACAGACAAAAATATTCAAAGAATTTAAGAGTTGGCTGACTGGATGGCTAAGAAAATATTCTCATACTCGTGATGCCATTTATGGACTGCATGGCAGCAAGTACAGCACTTACATTTTGAAAGGCCTTAAGTGATCATGCAGGAAACTTTCAGATGAGTATATTTTCTTTTCAGATGAGACAGTAGTTTAGTCAAAACCATCATTAAAGTGGAAATACAAGACATACACCAGATCACAGGCAGCAACTGCTCATCACAGCTGTAATAAAAATTGGACCTCACAAATCTGACAGATTTCTTCAAACGCACCAGAAGAAAAGTAAAAGCACAAATGGTTTATTTGGATTTCCAGAAATCTATCTCCTGTAACTAAATAGTCATGTTACAAGAGACAAAAAGTATTCAAGAACTTGTATAGAAAACAAAGCTTAGAAATAAACAGTATATTTTTACTGTGGGGAAAGCTTAGTGGCTAGGAACTGGTAGGTACTGTGGGAGCAACATAGGTGCTAGTCATCAGAAAAAGGAGCTATCAGCAGAGTAACAAACCCCCAAATGACACAAAAGCATGCAGGTAAGTCTAGACCAGAAGATATCCAGATAAACCCAACTAACCTGAGTAAATGAGCAACACAATAGCAAGCAAAAGTCAATATTGACAAATGCGATATACTCAAATGCTTACCTGGCTTATGAATTAATGGTATTGACTCAAGAAAGAAATTTAGTATTGGCTTATAAGCTCTATACTCTGTGTGGAGGAGGAGTAACATAAAAAAAAAAAAGTTACGTGAGAAAATAAAGTAATAGAGAAAATATTTTTATTCCTATATAAATAAAAAACTGGATAAACATGTATACTGCTGAAAAAAGATATTGGCACAACATGGCAATAACCAAATTCATTCATGGACTCATAACCAAATATAATTGTGGTGTACATACTTGTAGGGGAAAAAAACAGTTCTAAAAAAATGGAGCTGTTCAGGAAAGAGGTGAGTAAAAGGTATCATGAGGACAACTGCCAGAAGAACAAAAACCCTGCAGCCCCAGTGAGCTTGGACACAGACCCGAGGCGCTGCTTCGGGCTCGTGCAGTCTGCCTAGGCTGCCTCCCCTGGGCACCTCACCCAGGAGGGCAGGAGCTCGGCCGCATGTGCACAGGGCCCGACCCCTGCCCAGGAGGAGCTGTGCAGCCACGCGAGGGGGCTGCCCCGCCGTGAGGATGCGGAGCTGCTGCGGGCCT